CCGCAATATAAATTCGATACCAGGGGTCATAAAAAACCTCCGCAAATTAATAACTACGACTTTAACTATGGAGGTTTGAAAAATTGAAAAATAACAATTAAATAACCTCCACAATTAAAATAAACCTCCATTAAATAACAATATTTTGTAGCGTGTGATGAGCTCTGGAAGTATTGAAACAAATTCATCGGGCTGAAGAATGTTCTCCGCTTTGATATCTTCACAACTTGTAGTACTCATTAATTTGAGACTTTATATCTTTATCTTCAATTATTTTCTAGTGGTAGTAGTTCCCAATGATGAACCTTTGTCTGACAACATCTTCAATAATGTATTTGAGAATCAACGAATCTTAAATGTCGTTTGCTTTTTATAAGAATAATACCACATCGAATAATCATTAGAAAGTGCACTAAGTAGAGTGTGTTAGCATACTTTACTCGCATGAATCCAATCTTCAACTTGTTTTGAATTTGAAAGGAGACTAGAGTTGGGTTTTGGATATGAAAGAGAAGTAGTAACTCCATACATGTCAAAAAGGCTAGACACACGTTTTTTATATATCTAGGAAAGGTTTTGCGGAGACCGTCTGCATTATGGAAACAATGTTCTAATTCTCTGGAATTGGGTTATTAATGTCAGTTATAAGTCTTTAAGATTGTTGTAGAAACTTACAATAATATCATCAACAATAATTTTTCAAGACGTGTAGATTATTTTCCTTAGGGATTTATCTACAGTGTGTTGCGTAAGTCTCCCAGAATACAATAAGAACTTTCCAAAAATTTCGAGGATAAAAACTAGAAAGTATTTCAATAAAACCTAGGACATTTATGGAAAAGAAAGAAAAGAGAACAAGGGACGAAATGAAATGGCTCAAGATGATTTTTGTAAAAGAAAGAAGAAGAACTCTAGATGAAAGTATTATGCGAGAGAGAAAATTATTCAAGAATTTGTTTCGTGCCTCTTTGAACGTATGTTTATCTTTTATTTACAGAGATTGGATGCATAAGGTGAGCAACCCAAAAAAGGCCATGTCTTTTAGAAGATCTCGCACTTTATTGTTTAAGACTGAATCAACATCCATAAAGAGAGGATGAAATCCCGATGCTTGTGGAAGAGAGCAACAACCTTCAATATTGCTTGCGAACTAGCTTCCAACATCACACTGAAGTAGCAAGCTATAGATGCAAAGTTTTCCATTCTTTGTAATATACCTGGAACTATCCACGGAATATTGCGTGTTTCATACATTGCCTTGCCTTCTTGTCTGTTGTTTCACATATTTTTTTGTAAAGAGAGACAAGAACATAATTCCGTTTGGTGTTGCTTTCAAATAATAGTTAATAACACAGCATTTTAAACATTTATTTTTCATATTATGTTATTTTCTTTAAATGTGTGGTCATTTGATTCATGAAACTTGATTTTTGCTCATAAGTAAAACTTTCCAAATTTGAAAACCTTACGGATTAAATTACCAACATTTTGGACAATTTAATTAGAGTTATCAACAGGTATTATAGACTGTGAGTTGCACATAATAAATAATAAAAATGTAATTTATTCAACTAAAAATATATAAATTATATCATATTAAAATTTGTAACTAGTAAATAATTTTAACATATAACCTATATTTTTGATTCACAATAAATAATATATGTTTCTGTTTTAATTTTTAATAATTTCTTGCAAACTTAAAAACTCAAGTTAGGTCTAAAGATATTAAATAAGTTAAAGTTAAAAAAAAACAATAAATTTATTTTGTTCCATGATACTAGAAACATATAAAACTATGGTCTTGATTCTTCTAAATGAGAAAACACACTTTAAAAATTAATTTCGCAAAAGAAAACTTTGAAGGATAAAGTGTAGTTGGAAACTAAAATCGTTGATTAGAAAATTAATGATTTAATTTTTTTTTATAAAGTACAATACGTATTTAATAAATCTAAGTTAATTTGAATTAAATTATTTTTTATTCAAAGTTTTATTGTTGCACTTTGCCCTTTTTCTTTATTATATATATATATATATATATAATATCGATTTTTATAAGAATGTATTTGAATTTTGAAGATACATATATATTTGATATTTAATTATAAGTGATATTTAGTTATAAATTGTTACTATTGACATTAAAAAGGCTACAGAATATACACATGTTATGAAAACAAAATCTATTAGTTTATGAAAAAAAAACAAATGAAAGTAAATATAGAAAAGTGAAAACATATAATCTTTTAAGTTTGTATTTATAAAAAATGAATTTTAATATTAAACTTAATTAAAATGATTAGACACGTACAAAAGGAAGCGTCCACGGTGGCTCCCTCTCCCACAATTTAAAATTAAGTAAACTCAGCACCAATAATTAGGAGTTATTAATTTACCACGACGCCACCAAAATAGAAGCTTGACTCCATCCTATGGAAGAACGACACGTGTTTGAAGAGCGCGTCCACGCCAATGTAGCGGCAGGGAATTACAACCATAGAGACCCACCGAAGAAACTACCTCACGGAATCCAAATCTTCGTTCGCTTCCCTTTTCTTGCATTGCCCTAATTCCTCAAATTCCCCTCTCTTTATTCTCCCAGATCCCGGTAAACGCCTCCTTCGCCTTTTCCCTCCCTTTCTCAGGAAAATTCTCCCAATTTTCTCGAGAAAGTGAAACGGAATTATGAGCTTTCAGGACATCGAGGCTGGTCGGCCCTTCGGTTCCAGGCGTGGCTTGACCAACGGCAAGCAGGACCCCACGCAGGCAGTGGCTGCCGGAATATTCCAGATCAACACCGCCGTCTCCACCTTCCAGAGACTCGTCAACACCCTCGGAACCCCCAAAGATACCCCCGAGCTCCGTGAGAAGCTGTTAGTTCTTCATCATCACACTCAATTTCTTTGATTTCAGCTAACTGATCGTTATTGACTTTTTATTTTCCGAAGAAAAAGATAAAGAAACGTTCCCTCCCCCCTTTCCCCCCTTCAACATCAAAATTGTCGAATCAGCTGAATGGCCGCTCGAATTACAATATTTCCATGTTGCTTGGCGTTTTGGGGATCGTTTTCGTTTAGATGGGCTAAGTTTGGGTTTTTTTTCGATTGAATTGCAGCGGACCTTTATTTTTTGGGAAGAATGATCAAAATTGCTATTTCTGATGCTTTGATCGAGGTTATATTTCTTCTTGTTGTTTCTCTAGTCGGGATTAAGATATGTAGTGATATGCTAATTTTTCAATTCAAGAACAGGACATTCTATGTAATGGAATATTTGGTGATTATCATGTTAAGTAGTTATACTTTTATAGAAGGTAGCTTCGTCATTCAAAGTAGTTAACAGATGAAGCCGAGGGATGTTGGGAATCTGAACTCTTTTTTTAGCCTTGCAAATTGGACACTGTCCCTTTTGTATATTAAGTTTTGATTTAGTAGAACAAGGACCTCTTTTGCTATTACTGTGGTTGACTAATATTTTAACCTATTTTAAAACTTACAGCCACAAGACAAGACTACATATTGGGCAATTGGTGAAGGATACATCAGCTAAACTTAAGCAAGCCAGTGACATTGATCACCATGCTGAAGTTAATGTAAGTTTGAACCTTGATCTTGTGTTTTACTGCATCTGAACGAGCAGTTTGTTTATTTGGTCCCCGTCTCAGTATTTTGTGATCGTCTTCCAAAATGCATTAACTCCTCTGAATACTATTATTACTTATATTATTGCGGTCATTTTTACTGGATTGGTAATTTTATAATCAATCTGCATCATTCTTTTAAAGAATACTATGAAAGTTTGTGACAGGCAAATCCTTTGTATGGTTGCATGATCTTCAATGCCTTTTACCTAAAAGTTTTTCTTATTTTTGCAGGCAAGCAAGAAGATCGCAGATGCTAAACTTGCGAAAGATTTTCAAGCAGTATTGAAAGAGTTTCAGAAGGCACAACGTCTTGCAGCTGAAAGGGAAACAGCATACACTCCTTTTGTTCCCCAAGCAGTCCTTCCTTCCAGGTGATTTATCAATTATAATTAGAGCCTATAGAAGTTTAGGGGCAAGACTATGTTTCTCCTTTGTTTTGAAGTGTATGGCTTATGCAGAGTGGGACCTGTTTTAGATTAGGCTACATTTAGAATTTTGCAGTTTAATATTATGCAATTGGTTTCTAGGTTATCGATTCTTCTTCTGTAATCACTGCCAGTGTATAATATACCTTTGCAAACAATGGTATGACGGAGATTTTCCTTTGGGCTTGCAGCTATACTGCTGGTGAATTAGGTGTTGGTTCTGATAAATCACCAGAAGAGCGTGCCTTACTCGTGGAATCAAGGAGGTATTTTCTCATTTATGATTAGTAGTATGTCAGTGATTTGCAGATTCATTTTGTGTATTATTGATCTATTTCCAATATATGGTGTGGAAAAGCAATTTTTGAAATGTAATATTGGGTTAATGATCAGGATTATTAACCATTTGAAATTTAGATTTGGTGAAAAATAGGATGCTTTTATTTATTGTTTCATCTTTGGTGGTTCGAAGGAGCTGGAATCATGAATTGATCGTGGCTACATTGTTAAGTTTGATTGGACAACTGAATGTCAATTGTTTATCCTGAAAAAGGAAATCTTTCCATTTTAGCTGTTGGAGTACCACATATTCATCTGCAACATACTATTATCCTGAAAATAATTGATATCAACTACCAAAAGCTCCCTTCCCGCTTTTTTTCTCTTATAATGCTCTGGTGTATTGAAATTGGTGGCATAATCAATGTTAGAATTATCCGTTGTGTCTCTAAAGTAGATGAATAATTGAATTTATGCGTTATCAGAGTTTTCAAATTTTCTACATTGCATCATTTCAGTACCTTAGCTCTTGTTTTATTCATGCTGCAGGCAGGAGGTTTTGTTCTTAGATAATGAGATTGCTTTTAACGAGGCCATCATTGAGGAAAGGGAGCAAGGCATTCAAGAAATACAGCAGCAAATTGGTGAAGTTAACGAGATCTTCAAAGATCTTGCTGTGCTTGTCCATGAGCAAGGAACCATGATTGGTATTTTTTTTCATTCCCTTTTATTTTTGTGATTGTGCACATTTTATATCGCTGTATACAAATTTATTTTTCCGTATTTGTTCATGTTCTCTAATGCAACTAAATTTCATTTTACAGATGATATTGGCTCCAACATTGAGAACTCCCATGCAGCAACAGCACAAGCAAAATCTCAACTTTTAAAAGCTTCAAAGACCCAAAGATCAAATTCCTCTTTGGTAATGTATCAATTTCTAATTGCCACAAAATTACTAACCTCCTTCCATGAAATGACTTTTTATATGTGGTATCTCCAGAGGAGATATCTTCTAAAGAGGGTTTGACTAATGGCCCTGACCACAGAATGGAATTTGATTTATAAATGATTTTGTATTGACTTGTTGTGCTGATGTATTTACTTGCAAAATTAAATTTATTATGATTACAGTACATGACACGTATTTTGGAAATAACAATGGATTTATTTGAATAAACTCCTCCACAAGAAGAAAATACGAAGGAAAAATTAATTGAACTTATATAAATTTAAACTAGTTTACGGATAAGCTAATATGTAGAATTTCTCAAAAATATTTTTAACTTGTGCATGAACTAATTTTACATTATGGAGAAAAGTTTATTTCATTTTATATTATTTTCTTCTTCTAGAAATACTTATAGAGAAACGTATTCTGAACATACTATACATGCAGCTTAAATCTTTGTAGGTGGATTAGCCTGTAATTTTGTCTATTATTATCAGTTTGCACATTGCAAACAATATTTGTTTTCCATTTTGAAAGTAGGATTATTGCATCGTTGTCATAATATGGAAGGGAAGAAGTGGTTGATGGAATAAGTAATAAGCTTATGCAATTTCCTACTTAAAGGAGTTATCATAGACTGTCTACCATCTTGAAAGACTTGTTTGTACATCGTTGGTCAATGTTTAGTCTTTTTTTCACCCTTTTGAAATCTTGGTGTATTTCCCTTGTTAACCTTGTGCTCTTTTATTTTCTCCATAGACATGCTTGCTTTTGGTGATTTTTGGGATTGTGCTTCTGATCGTGATCATAGTTCTTGCTGCTTAGACAAATATTGTCTCAATTCCATTATGAAGTAAATGCATATATACAGAGCAGCAGATATCATCTTCCTTGCTGAAGATATAACTTGATCGGTGTTTTGTCGGATCTGGCGATTGACTGGAGTTTGTTGCATCTGATTTCAGTACAAGATGTGGGAATTCCCATGATTTTGTTGTGGGATGTTATGTTCTCTCTATATGTTAGTGTTTGGGGTTTTCAAATATGTAACGACTTATGTTGTAAGTTCTCTCCTTGTTTCTTTAATTGAAAAGGTATTAATTCTTTCATTTCCCTTGTAAATGCAACACTGAAACTGGCTGGTTGTGCTGACTAATCAGTAAAACCTTCGTATATGGTAATATGTTTCTCTTTTAGTGTTTTTCTTTCCCAAAGTTGGAACTGTAATGTGTATGAAGAAAAAATTTGGATGTATTTGATGAGTTTATTCGGTGAGTGACATTTATTTATTCGTGTGGGGGAAATTTCTCGTCTGTGTATTCTGAAAGCCCAAAAGGCAAGGAAGGTGTGGAAAATTGCTTTAGTTTTAGTATTTATTTTTTTAGATAACGGAAACCCTTTTTCATTCGAAGGTAAAATTCATACTTCTAAGATTGGCCAATCCCTATAGAAAGGTAAAGAACATTAAAAAATTATATGGAGTTTCCTGGCAATTTCTTCTTAGCTCTGAAAGCGACCTTTTAATTAACTTGTGCTGCGTAAACGTGCTCTTTGTAATTTTCGTACATCTAGTGTTGTCTTTGATGGAGATTTTATTATAGTGCATATACATCCAACCGTAGTTGCAAAGTTATCTTAGATCATTTGTTTCCTTGCATTGTTCCAGCAACATCAAGAGTATTACTTACCCACTTCGTCGTCTTTGTTGTGTACTCTATTGTTTATGTCGGACCAATTGAAAATGTGGGTTAGAATGTGAAAGGGATACTATTTTATCCTTTTTATGTAGCTATGTGGATCACACTTTTGATTTCTAATTATAAAGTTTTAGGTTGGTGGGAATTTCAAAGCAATGCTGTGTTTATTTGGAATTATATGTCTAACAAGATAAGGAAAAATTGTTGAAGATGCTGAGTGGGTCAAAATGTTTTGGATGAAGTGATGAAGAATCGAGGTGGTGGAATAAATATGTTTAAGACAAGGTAAAAAAATAAAAGAGAACGTTTTAAATTCTTGTTCAAGAGTAATACTATTGAAAACTGGACAAAGTATCCTAACAACATTGGAAACTAGACAAGTATCATAACAGGGATTGACACAAGTTGTGATTGTAGCACACAATCTGAAGTCCTTGAAATTACAAACCCTTTGGACAAAGAATAGAGAAAGTAAGATATATGAGCTTGTCAAAAGTAGAGAAACAAATGCAAGAGATTTAGATTAAGATGCTTGAACAATGAATGGAGAAGGGTTTTTTGCAGATCATGGTATTAGTGAGATAGAGGGCGAATGACATTTGACTTATTTCCATAAAATTCAAATTGGAGATGTAAAAGAGAGCATTAGATGCATGTATCAGGATAAAGTTATTGGACTCTGATATTCTTATTGAAGTTTGAAAGTGTGTTGAAAAAAAAAAGGTTTCATTTGGTTCCCATAGTTTTTCAATAGGGTTTTGAGATTTAAGCTGCCAAATGAGTAAAATAAAAATACTTTGGTTCTATATTAAAAACAATATTTTATTAAATATATTATCTTTATCTTATTTTTATATTTTATTTTTAGTTACTTTGTTATTATTTTTTATTTTTATTTGGTTTAAATCCTTGGATGGTCTTCATATTTGTTGAGAAAATCTCAAGTCAGTCATCTTGTTTAAAACAGTCTTAATTGAGTCTTAAATTTTGTAAATTTGTAACAATTAAGTCATTTTCGTTAAGTGGTCAAAAACGATGTCAAGAGTTGAAGATGTGTTGCACAATAAACATGCTGATGTGATGTTTTTATTACGTGAAATTAAGATTTAAATTATGATGTATTAGTTTTTGACATGATGTTATGTAATTGGTCAATGTGGTTAGCAAAATAAATTAGGGATTTTGTGCAACTTTGTGCTTAATTTTGGCAACTTTGTGCTCTATAGCAATGACAGGACTATTGTTTGGCAAAACTTTGATTATCCAACTAACACCTTATTAGGAGGTTAGAGTTTAGCTAGAGACGACCGACTGGTTTCTAGTGTGTCCGAAAAAGACTATTCGAGTGGAGCTTTCTTTATGGTCATGCAATTAGATGGAAACCTCATTGCTTATCCAAAGAACAACGCAACATCTGGCACTTATGCTTATTGGGCTTCAAACACTTTTGTGGACTTATAGCTCGAGCTTGATGCCACGGTCTCTCTTTGCATTGGGATTTCATGTTTGAACGAAAATTTTAGCCCTGGAAACAAATCACACAACACAAGTTCAATCTACCATGTCACACTTGCTGCAAACGGGAACTTGATACTGTATGAACACCAATTTGAGGACAACATTAACTCTACAAATGTTCGAGTATTGTGGAGTACCTCGATTGAGAAATGTTAAATCAAGGGGTTTTGTGGCTATACGAAACCTCTTTCTCAGATTTTTTTAGATTTGTTCAAAGTTTTCTATGTCTTCCTATTAAATCTTCATACACTACACAAAATCAATATCCTTTCGATAATTCTTTTTTTTCTTTTGTTTTAATGTTGAGTTTGTTTTTAGGGTTTTTTAAGTAAATTTTTTGGGGTTGTGGAAATTTTATATTTGGGTGAGATCCCAATGAAACGTTTTTGAGAAAAAAAAATTAATCTTGATATATGAGTTAGGAGGGAGGAAGAAAGATGATGGGGAGAAGTTTTGTGTGAACGAAGAAGACAATGGTGCATTGGAGTCTGTTGGGTGTAGAGATTGTTGCATTTTTCATTTCAGCACTTTCCAATTATGTCTTTTTTAGGGTCGTTGCAAATTTTGGGGTTTTGGAAATTCAAACTTGGGTGAGATCCCAATGAAACGTTTTTGAGGAAAAAAAATTAATCTTGATATATATGAGTTAAGAGGGAAGTAGAAAGATGATGAGAGAGAAGTTTTGTGTGAGCGAAGAAGAGAATGATGGTGCTATAGTCTTTTATGAAATAAAATGAACTTATGCTTGTACAAGTGCTGAAATGAAAAGCGCAATAGTAACAAATATGTAGAAAGATGGTGATGGTGATGATATTGCCTAGATTCCGTTTTTATATTTCTTTCGAAATTTCAAATTTGCAGTTTCAAAAACTCAAATGTAATAAGTTTTTTAACTTTTTTTCCTAACCACGTCTCCAATTAAATAATTTCATGTTATAAATTAAATCCAAATTTCATATTATAATTTAAATCCAATTTCCACGTAATAAAAGATCCACCTCAATACATTTATTGTGCAACACGTCAACCACTTTTGACTCTATTTCTGACCACTTAACGGAAATGGCTTAAGTGTTACAAATTTACAAAATTTAGACCCAATTGAGACCGTTTTAAAGNGGTCGTTGCAAATTTTGGGGTTTTGGAAATTCAAACTTGGGTGAGATCCCAATGAAACGTTTTTGAGGAAAAAAAATTAATCTTGATATATATGAGTTATGAGGGAAGTAGAAAGATGATGAGAGAGAAGTTTTGTGTGAGCGAAGAAGAGAATGATGGTGCTATAGTTTTTTATGAAATAAAATGAACTTATGCTTGTACAAGTGCTGAAATGAAAAGCGCAATAGTAACAAATATGTAGAAAGATGGTGATGGTGATGATATTGCCTAGATTCCGTTTTTATATTTCTTTCGAAATTTCAAATTTGCAGTTTCAAAAACTCAAATGTAATAAGTTTTTTAACTTTTTTTCCTAACCACGTCTCCAATTAAATAATTTCATGTTATAAATTAAATCCAAATTTCATATTATAATTTAAATCCAATTTCCACGTAATAAAAGATCCACCTCAATACATTTATTGTGCAACACGTCAACCACTTTTGACTCTATTTCTGACCACTTAACGGAAATGGCTTAAGTGTTACAAATTTACAAAATTTAGACCCAATTGAGACCGTTTTAAAGAAGAAGATCGACTTGAGATTCCTCAACAAATATGAGGACCATATGAGGGTTTAAACCTTTTTATTTTGGAGTTAACCTATATTTCTTCTATTATAAATAGAGCACCTTATGTGTATATTCAATACAAGAGAGATTAATCTCATACATAGTTTTCAATATATTTAACATCATACCAAAGCCTGATTGTTTGAGTTTCTTCTAACATTATTGTTGTTATCGGCCACCAGCAACTGGCGACCGGACACCTTAATAATTTTTTCATTCAACACTTGTGTTTGAGTACCTTAGTATTACTTTCCTAATTTTAGTTCTCTACCGTGTATTTTTCATTGTTGTCCATTGTTCGTTGTCTTTGTCTAACGACATTACCTGTGGGGGAAGTTTGTTTCTAGGTGCTTTGATGAATAAAGGATACCATTCTTTTGAAGAGCCAAATTGTCCACTTGCATTGTCTATTATCATTGCGTCGTCATTTTCGTCATTTTTCGTGAGAGAGAGTCTATTTCTATGTGGTCCAATCTAGTCTCTACAATCTATCATTGTCACTACAGGCCACCATTTGTTATTGATGACAATCTAGTCCCTGCAGTTTGTCGTTATCTGTCACTACTAATCGTCGTCCACTACTGATGGTAATCTTCTTTGTCAAAGTTATCATAGTTGAAGTTTCACGGTAGTCTATCATTGTCCAATATTATTCTTCATAGCTACTATTAATTGTTTGTCGACCTTTTTCTGCACTCATTCACAACTGGATGTGAATAATGCATTTCGCAACAACAATTTACAAGAAGAGATTTATATGGAGAAGCCTCCAAGATTTGTTGCTCAGGGTAGTCTTTTGGGTTGATATTTCATCTTCACAAATCATTAACAATTTGGTGTCACTCGAGATGCAGAAGTAGATACTTTCACTAACTATTTATTGATTATATTACTAACAAGCTTGGTACATACGATTTGTATGCACCAGCTTGAGGGGGTTGTTAAATATATTATCTTTATCTTTTATTTTTAGTTAATTTGTTACTATTCTTTATTTGTATTTTGAGTTTAGCTTATATTTTTTCTATTATAAATAAAGCATCTTATATGTATATTAAACACAAAAGATATTAATATCATACATAAACATATTCAAAATTGTGCTGTTTTATGAGTTAATGTGAAATTACATGAAAAGGTGATTGAACATACACTTGGGAATGAACCAAAATTAGAGAAAATAAGGGAATGAACCAAAATTAAAGAAAATCTATTTTTTTACGTAAGATGATAAACAAAGGTTCGACATTCACGAGTATTTTATATATAATTTTAATTGACTAGAAAAAACTTCATGATTAATTGTC